ATATAGGCGCATGGGGTAAGATCATATATAGCCGATTACATATTTTTTCTTTTTTTTAGATAAATCATAACCTACAATGATTTTCTACCTGACCTTTCATCTGATAGTGGTTATTGTGACTTATACTAAGTTAAAACTAAGTATGATTATTGTTTTTGTTTTTTTTGTTTTTTGATGGATGTCAGTTATCAGCTATCTCCTATTAAGGACACATGGCACAGTGGATAAAGGCGTTGGTTAGATCCAGTGACAGGACCCAAAGAGTGTGAGTTCAATACCCGGTTAAGGCAGTGGAGAACTTTCAGAGGGAAAAATTAACAGGAGATAACTGATAACTGACATCCATCAAAAATATGGCACGTGGAATTAGGGAGCGAAATAAAGGGTTCAGTTCGACATTCCAACCGCCTGAAGAAGGCAGGAGCGTACAACGGCCGAAACGTTGTGATAAATATGGTGACAAAGATGAGGACAATAGGCAGAATAATGTAAATAAGGAACAAGCTCCTACACAAATAATGAATTCTTAGGTCCCTACAATCGGGATAATCTCAATGATGGACCTGCAAATACTCCAACTAGATCCACAACCATTCATTTAATGAAGGAAATGGTAAAATGTTTTCGTGATGAGTATTTGTTATGATTGAATTCTATTAAGCATTGCACAAACCTCAGAAAAACATCACACGCCAAACATGTGATATTTGGTAAGTAAAGGTTCGACAAGTAATTAGAAATATTTTGTTTTGTTGAGTAGATTCTTTTACCAATGTCTTTACAAACTGTAAAAGACCGTTACCCAATGTGCCGGGCAACTTTGGGTAGACTTTTGGACCCATTCCTCACTCTTGGGGACAATATGAGAACTAAAAATCAAATAGTATACAGGAAGCCAAAGAAGAAATAATGAGGCAAATAAGTGAGACATAAAATATTGAAATGGAGGAACGAGAAGAACTCCCCCAAAATTACAACCATGAAAGAATAATCTCAAAACTATTAACCTTTACAATTCGGCACTCAATTTAATTCTGGATGAAGTCAACCCTACGAAGCAATATACACATCGGCAATAGTAGCAACTAAAATGTTCTGCCCATAGATTTCTCAGCATCTTTCTGTAAATCCACATGTCTTTTTCCTCAGTTCTTCTCTTCATTTATGGGGAAATTGTCTAGCATTGATGATCATATGGAAGGTTTTTTTTTGGCTTGGTTTGTTTTATGGTATATCAACCTCAGGGTGTTATTTCATGACGACAACATTTTTATTTCTGGTAATTTTAAAAAAAAATGTATTGATGGAATTTTTTTAATGTATAGCTGGTAATTTTTTTAAAATGTATAGCAGGTATTTTTTTTTTCAAAAATGTATTGCTGGTAATAACTTTTCTTCAAAAATTTATTGCTGTTAATAATTATTTTACAAAATATTTCTGGTATTAAAACCTATTTTTACACTTTTATAGTGTTTTGACCCCAGTTTGGGGGTTAACTATTTACCCATAGCTGGAACCCCTAACAGGTGCTAACATCCCAGGTCAGAGTGGAACTGGGAACACCAGCAATTAAGTGGTAGTTCCACGCTCTCCAAACCTGCTGATCAGAGTCCTTGCTGTTGGTCCTTGTTTATCATTTTACCCAGGACGCGGATGTAGTTTATCGTCCTATCCAAGACGGGTGACCCTAGTCGCTCACAAGCCTGCAATAAAATGAGTCCAATCATATTGAACCGAATTATTTTACGGAAAACAAGAATAGTATACAAGAAGCCAATGAAGAAATCATGAGACATATAAATCAGACACAAACATATTGAAATGGAGGAACGAGAAGAACTCTCAAAATTGAAACCAACAAAACAGAGCCTCAAAAGTATTAAACTCTACAATGCAACACTCAAATTAATTCTGGATGAAGTAGAACCACATGTAAATCTCAATGGAGCAATATATATATCAGCAATAACAGCGTCTAAAAAATTAATCATCAAAGTAAAAAAAATGGTAGTCTCACAGACATAAAAATCAACCTTGGAAAAGAAAAATAGAGAAAGAAATTGAATAAATTAGAAGTGAATTATCTGTACTCGATGAACTGGCAAGAGGAACAAATGTAAGGACTAGAAAAAGCTGAAGGGTCAAAAGAAAATACAAAATTAGGAATGAAAGCGAAGTCCAATCAGAAACAATACATGTGGAGGTTCAAAGAATCAGATGCTATGAAAATAGATCGAGATTCTACAGACAGAACAATATATTTCAAACTAAAGTGAAGAATTTTTACAGAAATATAGGCAAACAAGAAATTAAAGTGACCCCCAACTTCAATATTGGAAGAGTTTATACAGTTCTTGGCAAAAATATGGGCTTGTCCTAAAGAATATAACAAAGCAAATTGATTAAGCAAGTGGTAGAATGGATGAAAAATAAAGCAGAACAAACATGGGCGGGTATCACAGAAGAGGATATTGAATGAGCACTGAAAAAACACAACTGGGAATTTCCAGGAATAAATAATATTCCTAACTTTTGGCTTAATTATTTAGATACAACACACAGAAATCTAGCCAAAGAACTTCAAGAAATGGTCAATGATCCTTCTAAAAATCTGTAAACTATTAAACTCTACAATGCAACACCCAAATTAATTCTAGATGAAGTAGACACACATATAAATCTTAACGAAGCAGTATATATGTCAGCAATAGCAGAAACTAAATAATTAAAGATCAAAATTAAAAAAAGGTAGTCTCACAGACATGAAAATCAACCTTGGAAAAGAAAAATAGAGAAAGAAATTGAATAACTTAGAAGTGAATTATCTGTACTCGATGAACTGGCAAGAGGAAGAAATGTAAGGACTAGAAAAAGCTGAAGAGTCAAAAGAAAATACAAAATTAGGAATGAAAAAAGAAGTCCAATCAGATAAAGAAAAACAATAAAGCAAACAATACAACTGAGGGCTCGAAGAATCAGACGCTATGAAAAAAGGTCAAGATTCCACAGATAGAACAAGATCGTTTAAACCGATGCGAAGAAATTTTACGGAGAAATAGGCAAACAAAATTTGAAGTGCCCCCCACGCACACACAAACACACACACAAAATGAAAGTGGTTAGACAGTTCTGGGAAAAAATATGGGCTTGCCCTAAAGAACATAAGAAAGAAGCAGATTGGATTACGCAAGAGGTAGAATGGATGAAAAATAAACCAGAACAAACATGGGCGGGAAATTACAGAAAAGGATGTTGAATGTGCACTGAAAAAAAAGCACACAAGTGCGAATGTCCAGGAATAGATAAAATTCCTAACTTTTGGCTCTATTATCTAAATACAATAACAACAACCAAAAAAATAACCAAAGAACTTCAAGAAATGGTCAATGATCCTACTATGAAAGGATTCTATTCCGCCATGGGTAACTACAGACTAATTACATGGCTTCCTACAACTGACAAAACAGATATATTCATTCTTAGAAAAAATATATGACATATTACCTCTTAAACAAAAAGGGTGCAAACCAGGCTGTTACCAATGTAAAGACCAGATACTTATTAAGAGGGTGATTTTGATTTGGTTTGTTTTACGCCATATCAACGTCAATGGGTTATTTAATGCCGACAAAATTTTTAGTCCTGGTAATACTTTGTGTTATCAAAAATCTATTTCTGGTAATATTTTTTTCCTCAAAAATGTATAACTGGTAATATTATTTTTAAAAATATATTGCTGGTAATATTTTTTTTTCAAACATATATTGCTGGTAATAGTTTTTTTTTCTTCAAAAGTTTATCTCTGGTAATAAGTTTTTACAAAGTATTTCTGGTATTAAAACCTATTTTTACACTTTCATAATGCTTTTTACCTCAGTTTGGGGGGGTTAACTATTTGCCCATAGCTTGGACCATAACAGGTGCTACCACCCCGGGTCAAGGTGGACCTGGGAACAGCAGCAATTAAGAAGTGGTTCCATGCTCCTCAAAACCTCCTGATCAGAGGCATAACTGTTGGACGTAGTTAATCGTCTTACCCTGGTCGCGGATGTAGTTTATCTTCATACCCAGGACGCAGATGTAGTTTATCTTCATACCCAGGACGCAGATGTTTTTTTATCGTCATACCCAGGACGTTGTTAAGAGGATGACCTTGGAAAACTGCATCAATAAAAAGAAAAATCTCAGTACTATCTACTATCTACTATTATTGTCAAACATTAGATAGTGTACCCCACTATATACAGTGTCATGTCTTCAAAATTAAATGCTGACTTTAAGAGACATCTTTATTTTTTCCTATTTTCAAAGTTCAGGACAAATTATTCCTTGTTAAAATTTAAAGTGCAGCCTCAGAGTTTTACTTTTTCTACAAATGCGTCATGAAGTAAAGAAGATTGAATAACACTGGCCTATGGTAATGTTCATTGGGGGGGGGGTATAAGAAAACTAGGGTAGGCATCAATTTCACATGTAAGAGGGGCAAATTTTATTGCGATTTTTAAACAGTGTCCTATAGATGTCCTGTGTACAGTCAAATACGATTGGCCAATATACTTGATCTTGTTTCTTTATTTTCCTTCTTTTCTCATTCATTTTGTTTTTTCTTTCTTTTGTCTTTCCATCATCGGTCTTTATTTTCTTTCTCTCTCGCTTTTTCATTTCATAATTCTGTTCCATTTTCTTTGTTTCATTCTCTTCTGTTAATTTCTTTTCTCAGTTCCTTCCATCTTTCTTTCTTTCTTCTTCCATCTTTCCTTCTTTCCTTCCTTCATTTCTCGTTTATTTTTCATACTTTCGTTTTCTTTGTTTTTCTCTGTTCCTTACATCTTTCTTTCTCTCGGTTTTCTTTCTTTCTTTCTTTCTTGCTTTCTAGTTTTTTCATTCCATACTTTTGTTCTATTTTTTCTTCTCTTGTCTCCTTTTTTCTTTATTTTCTCTGTTTCTTATATATTTCATTCTTTCTTTCTTTTTCCTTTCTTCTCCCTTTTTGTTGCAGGCGTTTTCTTTCATTCATGTATACATGTCTCTTTTTCTCTTTCCTCTTTTCCTTCTCTTTTTCTTTCTTTCTTCCTTCCTTTCTTTCTCATCTTTTATTCCAGTCTATTTCTTTCTTCCTTTTTATACATTTCACTTTTCTCTTTGCCCTATTCTACTCCTTCCTTTCTTTCTTTACTCCTTCATTTCTTTCTTTACTCCTTCCTTTCTTTTTTTACTCCTTTCTTTCTTTCTTTCTTTCTTTCTTTCTTTCTTTCTTTCTATTTTTCTTTGTCATTACATGTCCCCCCACATTCTTACAAACAACAGAAGGCAATCTTTTCCATAGAATGCACTATTTTAACTTCTTTTGTTACACTGTTCGTCTGGTTTGAAATTACTTCAGGCCCGTTATAATTTCCAATCCATCTGTCACGTGACTGAGCGATAAGAATTTATAGCTTTTCATTAATCGGTGGGCCAGCAGCTTCTCTGGTCTTACCCAATTCGCACACAAACTTAATCTGTGATGGGCGGAGAAAGTAACATCGATTTGCCACACCCATATAGAGATGTCGGCTGCATTTTCACACACATAAAACTCACACTAAAAGAAAAAAAAACAAAAAACAAAAAAAAAAACTAGCCGATTTGATATATGTTTTTGTATATTTAACTATTAACCACAATTTATTCACATCTATCTATCTATCTATCTATCTATCTATCTATCTATCTATCTATCTATCTCAGTCTGTTCATATCTATACCAGTCTGTTTATATCTATCTATCTATCTATCTATCTATCTATCTATCTATCTATCTTTGTTCGTATCTATCTCATTCTGTTCATATCTATCTATGTTCATATCTCTATCTCTCTACCCATACATATATATATATATATATATATATATATATATATATATATATATATAAAGACATTTTTATTTTAACATTCTGTTTATAGATACAAGTATTTTAGTAAATGCCCTGTTTATAATAAACAGTATTAAATAACATTTACCGCCCTGAATGTCCGAGAAATTTTCCTATACAGTGTAACCCGGATATAAGAGAGTTGTCGGGACCGGAGAAGAAGTCTCTTATATCCGGATTTCTCTTATATTCGGGTTTGGTCTAATTTATATACATTAACACAGGCTCTAATTTGGGACCAGAGAAAGTCTCTCTTATATCCGGGTTTCTCTTATATCCGGGTCTCTTATATCCGGGTTACACTGTATATACTTGTTTATTTATCACGGTCTTATTTGTATCTCTATCTCGAATTTCCCTCTTGAAGTCAATATAATGTACTGATGATGAAGGGTGGCTATGCTGATGACATAGTTATTCATAGTTGCGATAAGAATGATATTAGACAGGAAATCAACATCCTTTACTAAATGTTCCACGAAATACGACTCAAGATAAATTTTCCAAAATTCCCACCCTTTTTGTTTTAATTTAATGGTCGCAGAAACTGTCTGATTGTCTTCTCCTGATTGTGTAGCATGGTGCAGATTGCTGTTTCCACACATCGGGTCTTCCAGCAGCCACCCACTTAGCCGAGGGCAGAATTACATCCTCATTGCACTTGATGTAGGCCTTCGTGTTGTATTTGAGCTAACCACCAACAAAAATCGAGAGTTCTTTTCTTATCAAAACGATTTCGAACTGTCGTACCTTCGTAATCCCCATTAGACTCATACAACTCTTTCCAAATCCTCTGCAAGCAGTACAGTATGTCGTTTCCAAATTTCTGGAGAAATGAATAGCGTCATGGTGCTTTTTTTTCTCACAGACGGTGACTAATTGACCCTATTATACTGTGCCGTCGACAAAATCAAAAACAACGCGCATGCGCAAAATTAAAATTATAAAATGTCGAAAATGTAACGCTGTTATCATATATATATATATATATATATATATAAAGACATATTTCATGTATATACTTTCTTTTTATAGATAGAAATATTTAAGTAAATGCTCTGTTTATAATAAACAGTATTAACAACATTAACCGGCCTGAATGTCCGAGAAATTTTCATAGAAAATATGCGTCTTTCGACAGGAATCGAACCTATATCCTATATGGAACCGTCACATAGCATGAAGTGCTTTACCTATTATTATAAACAGAGCATTTACTTAAATATTTGTATCTGTAAAAAGAACGTATAAACATAAAATAATGTCTTAAAATAATTGTCGGACTTTGTCCATTTCATATATATATATATATATATATATATATATATATATATATATATATATATATATATATATATGGACGAGTGGTTAGAAAGTTCGCGATGAGATTTGGATCCGAATCTCACCGCTTCCTGATGTTATCGATCTGGAGGGGGAGGATCCCAGCGTGCGTCACCTTTGGAAAGTGCCTGAAAACAATACCACGGGTTGATCCAAGCCTTGTTAGTGAAATTAGATAGATGTAACCCGTGGACGTCGTCGATAGCTGTGCTAGTACGAAATCACAAGACATCGTGACCGAGTGTGCTGTCCTTGTTCCGATTGTTGAATACGAGTGTCTAGCAATTATATATATTATATATATATATATATATATATATATATATATATATTAATAAAATCGGCTCAAACACTAATATTCCATGGTTATAATTTATTATATTGGAATCGTAATCACGATCCAATTTGTCAGACTTACAAATTTTTGGAATTTTTGGGTCTGATGAATTGGATCCTGATTACGCTTCCAGTGTAATAAATTATAACCATGGAATTCAGTGTAACCCAGATATAAGAGGGTTGTCGGGACTGGAGAAGAAGTCTCTTATATCCGGGTTTCTCTTATATCCGGGTCTGATCTATTTCATATACATTAACACAGGCTCTAATTTGGGACCAGAGAAAATCTCTCTTATATCCGGGTTTATCTTATATCCGGGTTTCTCTTATATCCGGGTCTCTTATATCCGGGTCTCTTACATCCGGGTTACACTGTATTAGTGTTTGAGCTTTTGTATTATATTATTACTCTGTCCTGTACATTGAGTTTTATCTGGATTCTATCCTCTTGGAAATTTATATATATATATTTGACCACTAATATTATATATATATATATATATATATATATATATATATATATATATATATATATATATATATATATATATAAGGTAATTTATCTTTTGAATTGTGTATTACAAATCTATATCTTCTGTCGCAACTTTGATTGTATGAAGTCGAAATATTTAATCTTTTGTGATCTGATACTTAAATGCCTCGATTGTTCCTCTTGAGAGCGGATAAATCTCTCACCAAACTAACGCTGACTTATCTCCTCTGAATTATTACCAACGAAAGATTTACTTTGTGTATATGCAACCGTAGCTTTCAACAGCGCACAATATTGTCGGCCCACCGTCATTCTGTTTTACACAACCACACCCACTTACGCGCCCCCACACATGCACACACACACACGCGCATAGCAGCATGTCTACATTCAAGCATGAATAATATACACATATATATGATTAAGGTATATTTAGGCAGCAGATATTCATCCAAACAAGTTGATTAAAAAGAAACCGACAAAGGCTGTCTGCTAAATTTTCTTCTCACATTTTCCAATCTTAGAACAACAAGGTGTTGAGCATTGTCTTCAAAGTTGTGGATACACTGTCTGAAGTTTATATTTTGTTATTTCGTTCAAGCACTTTCGACTCTCTCAGTCATCATCAAGAACTAATGTGGTGCCTGTGTAGTAGTTAGGCAAATTTAGGAATTTAGATAAAGTTGAACAAAAGAATTCTAACTCTTCCACAACACTTTGAAAAAAAACAATTACAGGATACACACACACACACACACATTACAATCAGTGATGTGTGTATGTGTGTGTGTTAAATGTTTACCTGTGTAATGCAATACTTATCATGGCGGAGCTACATATCTCTTCAACTCATTTTAAACTTTTGAAAATCATGGAACTATGAAATCAGTAAAGTTGCTCTAAATAAATATACTTAAAAAAATTCTAATGTATGTATATCTTCATTTTACTATATATATATATATATATATATATATATATATATATATATATATATATATATCAAATATGTGGTTCCAGTTTAATTTATAAACGCAATGAAAAAGTTCATATAAAAAAGTAAATTAGTAAAGTTAATTATATAAAATGGAGAAATCCTTTCGCGAACAAAATTTTAAAGTTGTATTAACCTAAAAATCACTCGATGAATGTTATGATCCTTGTTTTTAATAATTATAAGCTGTATAAGGTCTTTTTTTAATGCTACCTGAATTTTACCAAAAACAAAGTAATTTCCATGTCTGAAGATGACTAAATGTACAGTCGCAAATACTGGCTTATTAAAGAAAGTCTTTAGCTCATAATTTAAAAAAAACAAAACAAGGATCATGACATTCATAGAGGGATTGGTAGTTTAATGTACCTTTAAAATTCTATTAGTGAAGGAAATTTCGCCATTTTATATCATAAACTTTACTAATTTACTTTTTGCATGAATAAATAGTAAATAATATATATATATACATATACATATGTAAATATATATATATATATATATATATATATATATATATATATATATATATATATATATATATATTTTTTTTAGACCAAAGACAGATAGAGACAATGTCGAAATAGATATGCTCTGAAGAATGCGTTCAATAATGAAACACACTGTTGACGTTCGGTGTTTGACTCTGTTTATATTTACATACGCTTTATCCCCACATTGGGCCCTTTTACGCTACGAATATAGCATTTATTTAAACTAAATTTTATCACACTCACACACACACACACATACATACGTACATATATATGAATCAAGCACACTGAGTCACTGGCATGTTTATTCAAAATAAATATTAAAAATTCAAATTTTCATAATATTTAAAGCTAAAATCGTAATCTCCGACTGATGCCAAATCAGTTGGGTTTCGATCCTGGCTCGAGGCAATCGGGTGTGTAGCCACACTGATATTCTGTGATACAGGGAAACAATCTGTCTGTGGATGACACTATAAATATATATATCGTCATCCACAGTTATATATATATATATATATATATATATATATATATATATATATATATTTGTTGTGCAGAAAAACGACAAAACTACGCTACACTAATTTGTTGAACCTAGAATCTTCCATTCACTATGAGAGAAAAGTCAGCTCTTTGGAAAGTGTGTCACACGCATTACCGGACGAATTACAGTTTTCGCCATTATTATATCATTAATCCATATGATTAAAAACCCTTCCTTCACTAATCTTTCGTTCCGGAGTTTTCCTTGGAATATTACAAACCAGAACTACAAGCTTATCCGAACATTATAAATCTAATTAACAGATTTATATTTAATCTGACATTTTTATTACTTTAAACATTATTTTTAGTGGGTATCCATGTTTGAAATAGCGTTTTTACGCAAATCAGTCTACGAACTCGAGAAAACGAAGAGAATACACAAAAAGTACACATACAAACATTTTTAATTTATTTGTTTAAACACTATTTTAAATGGATACTCATATTTAAGTAGACTCTCTGATTCTTTTTTCATTTTTAAAAAAATATATTTATTTATTTACATCTACAGGGTTGAATATTCCAGAAATCCTGTCAGAAAAATATGCGACCTCCAACAGGATTCGAAACTGTGTCCCCTAGGGAAAACCGTCATTAGATCTGAGGTGCCTTTGACCAACTCGGCCACTTTGAACTTCCTGATCAAACAAAGACGGTTGTTCGAAAAATTATTCGGACTTTGTTTTTTGTGCTTTTTACCCATAAATATACCATATTTTAAAAATATATTTTTTTATATATATATATATATATATATATATATATATATATATATATATATATATGATATATAATTATATAAGAACCAAACAAACCTACCAAGGTATCGACTAGGTGAAACGTTGGTATTTAAATTGATATCTAGGTTTGATTAATTTCTGCTTTGTAGTTTTTTTTTTTCTTTGGCCTTTGGACCTGTATGCTGTACGATTATTTTCAACAGACGCTCATGTTCCTAGCTCTTTCTTTTTTAAAAACCTTTTTTTCCTTCGAAATTGATTTGATCATTAGCAAATCAAGAATCCGAAGTGTAGTTACCTATATATATTACTCAAAAAGATCTTGAAATACTAAAGAGTAAATTTATTCAATAGAATCGCCATTGGCTTTAACTACGGCCCCCAGATGATTTTTGAATCTTCTGAAACTTTTCTTGATCGTCTCCTTGCTTAAGTTGGTGACTGCTGCCATAATACTTACTTTTGTTGACCATGTTCACCATAGTCTATGAATATAGAATACAGCGCAGTACGTAATCTGTTCAATGAAACAACGTTAAAGATTAACACTCACGAGTCAGACACTCTACTGAATCTGACTATATCGCCAATACCACCACCAGCTGTTCCGTAATTCTTTAACTCTTTCCATATCAAAGGCTGGCAGTGAATATTCAATAAAACATGGCCGCCTTTATACACGTCGCATTGAATATTTTGAGCCTTCTGATTGGTTAACCCTTTCTATTGGTGAACTATAAAATTAGTCAGCTCATTTTGGCTGGCTCACTAGTACACCAGGGTACCCAAAAATTCCAACAAAATCAGTTTATCTTTTGATAGTAAAATGAAAATTGTCCATTTCTAAAATTTAAGAAAAAATCCCATATATATAACAATCAAGGGGGTTGCAGTTTGGGGAGTTAGATAGCCAGATGCAAGGCGTGGGATATGGTCGCAGAAATTGTCTAACAGCTACGACTGGGTTCTCCTGCTTGTGTGGCATGGTGTAGAGTCGTGTTGCCAGACATAGAGTGTTCCAGTCGCCACCATCTTGCCTCAAGTCAGCACTACCTCCTCAAGGCACTTGATGTAGGTCTCCGTGTTAAGGCCATGTCGGTAGATGAATGGATCCATAACGTCGACGATTGAATATTGAACAATTTGTATGATATTGACTGGATATATCATCCCACTCTAAATCCTCTGCATTGTCCCCAGATTGACACCCAAACACTCTGAAATGTTCGTATTGGAACTTCCAGTGCGAATGCCCAGCAGCATAGCATATCGTTTCCAAATTTCTGGCGGAGAGAATAGCGTCATGGTGTTTTTTTTCTCCCGGACAGTGCCCAACTGACCCTACTATACAGTGCAGCCGACAAAATCAAAAACGAACAACGCGCATGCGCGAAATAAAAAAATAAAATAAAATGGAGACAATTTACCCATCGCGGTCGTATGTTTAATAAATTAAAAATCAGTTCAACTCAATGTAATGGCTTTTGAGTATATGTTCGTTGATATGTTTCATATATTTTACTTTAGCCCACTGAGACATCAAAATCAAACAAAGTCCAAAAATGAAATTATCCAAGAAGTTTTTTTTTACAGCAGACTGAAAATACCGTATTGAAATCCGAAGGAGCATTTGATAAATTGAGATGTCTTTTAGCTAAAATAATCGATGTAAATAAATAAGTATTAAGAAACAGGAAAATTTCGTTAGCAGAAATGAACTATTGAACTATTATGTAATATTGGTTCTCCGAGTGAATTCTCATTACAAATGAAAAAGGGACTGAAGACATTAGAAATCTGGTTCTACAGAAAGATGCCGAGAACTTGTGAGCAACGACAGAGTTGTAGGGAAAATGGGAAAAAAAACAGCGAATAATCCTGTTGGAAATATTCCTTTGTAGTTCCAGTCTTTAAGAACTCAGGCAAATTTGATCCTTCAAACTTCATTTCGCCTTACCAATTTTTTTTTTGTACTTGTTGAAACTTGACTAATGCATGGAATAATAATGCAATACAAAATGTACTTAGAACAAAATGTATTTAAACAAGAAAGTGTACACAATATTTACATAGAGTCTTTTGTATATTCCTGGTAAGACCGTTCCTGGAGAATGTGTTGACTGAGTCGCAGTCGGGCAGAGTCTCTGGTTGAATCTCTTGATTCCTTCCTCTCTTCCCGGTACCAACCATATTTATATGGTCGGTACTCCACTATGCAAATTAGGTGGATCCTACCACAACACTACTAGAGATTCTAATTAACTCAGGATTGGTTAAGCATCGCACCTCGCAGTGTTTTTTATCAAATAAGCAATACGACCCTCACTTCTCCAGGTCAGCTTCTGATGTGTTAACTATTGTTGCCATCATTTTACAGTTATTACTAGATGTAACCGTAAGTTCTATGTTAACAGTTTCTTCACACTCACCTCTCGCCTGTTTCTGTAAACTTTGCACTTCAAAAATTTAAATCCAACATCAATTTTTTTCTTTTAAATCTGTCTTAATTCTTTTTCTTTTATTGTCTTCAGTCATTTAATAGTATATATTTTTATATTCCCAAATAACACTCAGTCACCCGCTTGCGTCTTATTGGTTTTATTTCCTTCCTTGGGGTGTAATTATTAAGAGAAAAACGACCTAAAGGGCTTGTGTAAATGGTTAACAGAAGAGGGATTTGTAGAGCTGGCTAACTTTACGAAGAGTTAGGAAGAGAAGGAAATGGTAAAGAGCCATGATCTTTCACAACCTGACAGGAAACGGATCATAGAAGAAGAAGAAGAAGAAGAAGAGGAGGAGGAGGAGGAGGAGAAGAAGAAGAAGAAGAAGAAGAAGAAGAAGAAGAAGAAGAAGAACGGATGTTCGAGTAACAGTTTATGCCGAACTTTAATACGAACATGATAATGGCGTCTTTGTTGCTCAGAGAAGTTGATTTAAGGACGTGGGAACATATTTCTGCAGTTGAAAACCTGTCCATTCTACCGCTGTTATTACGTTACTTGTATATGTTAGGGTTTATTTAAAAATAAATCGGAATTACCAATTTGAATGTTCCCGTTTATGTGTGTTTGCAAAATTTTCAGCCACCAACACTTATATATATATATATATATATATATATATATATATATATATATATATATATATATATATATATATATATAGTAGGATGTTACATCGAAAACATCGCTTTTAAAAATCGCTATACAATTGTAGTCGTGTTGGAATTGTAAACTATTCGTTCCGTTCTCATAATCTTGTAATATATATATATATATATATATATATATATATATATATATATATCTTGATTGATTTCCTCGATTCTAGACATCTGAAACAATATGGCTTCCAGGCGGAATATACCGGACAATCTCCTTTTTCAAAGTCTCAGCTCGTGGGTCCGGCACTTCAATTAAGAAATACTTTCTCGAACTCCGCTCGATACCACCGAATATCCAATGTCCAGGACTCCATTGGCCACGGTGATATTTACGACTAGCAGCATGACCCGGCGTTGCCCGTGCTTGATTCAAAAATCGTACGACTCATACAGCAATCGCTATCACTTGACTTAAAATATTTTTGCCTTTCCTTGCTTTTAAAGGAGTGCCCTTTGCCGTGCTGATGTTGCTACATGTCTTACTTCTTGCCTATCTCCCAATGCGAATTTTTTCTAAGCTCTATACTAAACATTAAATCAGTTACGAAAAAAGAACTAAACAAAATAAACACAAAACGATCAGCTTTAAAAAAGGACTAGTAACTGGAAAAGCCGAATGAAAAAAAGGATGTTAATAACAAATACTTTTTCACATCCAACCCAGTTCTGCGGAATCAGAATCAACTTTGAGTTTAAGTAAGCTAATGAGCCAATTGGAGTAAAGTGCCATGCAGATTTAAATTTTTCCCACTTGTGACGAATGCAGCTATCGATTTTTTTTTGCATGCTAGCATGCTAGTTAACACTCGTGTCAGTCAGCTGTTGGCTCTCACGCTGGCCAATAGAATCTTGCTGCCTATTCGTGATAGCCAGCTAATGGCTCTCACTCTGGCCAGTAGAAAATGGCCGCAAACTACATGAAAACTGTCGTAGAAGCATGAAAAAAATCGATTATTTCCACTATCGGTGGGAATTGAGAAATGCAGAGTTGGTCTTGGCCTTCCCGCTAACTTGGAGCATGTGCATGTAAATTTTGGTGGAAATCCGTCGAAAATTGCGGTCGTGCATTCGTTACACACACACACACACACACACACACACACACACACACACACACACACACACTGCCTTTTATAGATAGAGATGAAAGAACGTTTAAACTAAAGATAAAATAAATGGTATAAAAATATATCCTGCAGTATTTTTAAGCATTTTACTCCAAGCAAAGCGCGGGATGCCACTAGCATGCAAGGGGTTACAGGGAGTAGGTGCCAGGTTCTCGTGAAATTATTTGTAGAAAAGACAGGGGGAGGCGACAACACGTCTGTGAGAGAGCGACTGTAGACGAGATGCCAGATCAGGGCCAATCACATTTCATATCTGTCTCTGGAATTTTGTCGAAGCTCTTAAGACGAACAGCCGGGGTATCAGACCATATATTGCAGAAGTATTACATGCAAGGGCGAATGGTTGATTTATTAAATATATATATATATTAATAAGTAGGAGGATTTGATAATTATATTTAATTGATTCATTGAGTCTGATAGAAACCTCAACAGGAAATAGAGGAAGCACTGGACGGCCGTTTCGTCCTATAATTGGGACTCATCAGCAGTGCGCATCCACCACCAAGTATCGAAACCCTGACGAACAACATACCAACTGTACCAAATGGGCCTCGGTAACGAAGAGATTCCTAATCAGACTCAACTAGCGCCGCTCGCTCACATATTTCGTGGCGGAACTCTACTGAGTTCTCTGTAACCGTAGGACTGTGCCCCCGGGAGCCACGACTACTCTCACCAAGCCGCGCCGACTGGAGCATTAGAAGCCGGTTCAAGCGAAGATAAAGACAGATAATAATAAGTACATATATATATATATAATAAGTATATATATATATATATATATATATATATATATATATATATATATATATATATATATATATATATTGGTTGATTTCATCGATTCTAGACATCTGAAACAATGTGGCTTCCATAAAGACATCAAAATTATTTATTTTATGTTGCTTATGTGAAGGATTACCGTTATTAAATCGTCCTAGATTCGTTCAGTTTTTTACATTTCTTTTGACTTAAATGAACTTGTTGTCTATAGGTTAGTTTTTAGTGCGATTAGAGGAAGAAAATCTTTCAATATAGATGTTCATTATATATATATATATATATATATATATATATATATATACCAATTTAGGACAGCTCTGTTTATTTTTTTTGTCTTTTGATGTTGGTATTCACTTTTTTCAGATTAAGCGCGAATAAATGTAGTCCAATATTAGTAGATATCAAGAGAGAAGAAAGAAGTAAAGAGCCAATCAAAGAGAGGGGGGGTTAATATATAGTAAAGATAAAAAGAGAAAAGGAGGAGACAGAGAGTGGAAAGGGGAAAGACAAGACGAGCTAGGCGAGATAACGCCAGTTTTGTGTTGGTAGTCATGGCTTATCACAGGAAAAAAATATACCGTGTAAATTAGTACGGGTTAATCGGTACAAATAACACTAACCTTATCAACAGCGGGAGACATTTGGACGAAATCAGTGAACAGAGGCGTAAGCTGAAACACTCAATGGTTTCATTATTCTGCCTGTTTAAAGAAGCCGATGTGTGTGTGTGTCTGTCAGTTGACGCATGCGCATGGACAAAGGAATCTAGATGGGATCAGGACGTTATCACGTGACCAATTCTTGGTCTGAAACTGAATGAGTTACAACTGGCCATGTGCGTGAGATGGACTGAGAAAAAAAAGTGAATATGAGAGAGAGAGGGGGGGTGTTGTCTTAGTATGTATGAATGAGACGGAAACAGTTTGTGAATGAGTTTGCGAACGTGTGTCATTGCACAGATATTTACGAGGCTTAGCTAAGTCTGGCACAACGTCGAACTGGCTTGAGAGTAACGAAGAGAGGGGTGCACCAACCCTGCAAGGTGTGGGGAAGTCTTGTAATTATTCAAAATATTAAACGAGAAAAGACAATTGCTACTGAAGCTAAATACATATTCATATATAACTACCTGACTCACGCGTAGTCACACACATACACACACATGCGCGCACACACAGACACATATATGTGCGTAAATACAGGCACACATATATGCAGGCATACACACACATATATGCAAACAAACATCTATGCAAACTCGCACACACATATATATGCAAAATCACGCACACACTCACACATATATATATGCAAACACGAGCACGTTAAATATATATATATATATATATATATATATATATATATATATATATATATATATATATATATATATATATATATGTATTTCGGCAGCATGTTTTCATTCAGACAGGTTTTGGTAAATAGTTTAGACACGTTCTGTCTACTTATTTTCGACAAGATCCTTTCATATTCGCGAATATTTTTTGTGCGGTTGTTAAAAGACGAGAGGAAAACACCGTGTTGGCCCATTTTGTATTTATTCCGAGTACTTTCGACATTGCATATTGTCATCATCAGGGTATTGTTCAATATAGAGGAAGTATTTAATGTTCATGGTTTTGAAGGAGAAAAATGTGTTCATCCGAAGATAACCATTTTTTACATGAGGAGTCACAAAAGCTGTGTCATGGTTGATTGACAGACACCGTTTAAGGGGAGGTAATTAGGTATACTGTAGAAAAGTTCCGGGCTTGAGTAGTTGTTAGATAAAGGAAAAACTATGAACGACAAGTGCTAACATTTAAAAACTATCTATTGTACACATTTTAAAATGTTTGTGGAATATTCGTAATTAATTTTATTGAGGTTTGGTCTCAATTTTTTTTTTGTATAAATAGCTTCAAGAATTTTTATTTTGTGTTTATACTCTTCGTGGAAAATATAGAGGTATTTTCCACGAAGATTTTTCTGAATTCCGGGTGTGGACAGGTATGTTGTTGTAAGTGTTTAGAAATAATAGAAATATTATTCAGGTGAAGACAGCCTACGTGAAAGCGTTGTTGTCGTGTGTCCAACATAGATATTATTTGTATTCTTGGAGATGCAATCTCCCAGAGGACATTTAAATTTATAAACGATGTTGGTTTTCTGCAGCACACAAGTGGCCAGGGAAGAGTTATTACGAGTGATTTTATTAGATAGAGCGGATTTAGTGTAGTATATAATAAGTTTTATATTTTTACCAGAGTCTGTGGTAGATGTATTAGGTTTTATTAATTTTTAAGGAAATTTTCGTCTTGTTTATAATTAGCATGCATCTAGTTACTATATAAACGGTTGACATGTTTTGGGGTTAGCTGGAAGGGTATTATGTCCTATATGTTTTGTATAGAGGTCTCTGATGGAGCATCTTTTTGCTCGTCTTCGATGTAGTTGGGGAAGTTGTTATTGATAAGTGTTGGATTTATATTTCTAAGTTCGCTGTAGAAGATCTGTTTTGTGGATGAATTAGTTTCTGCGCGGTTTATTAGGTTTTTTATGATAGCTATTTTATAGTAATTTTGACATTAGCATTTATAGTTAAGAGTACAGGAAATTATGCTGGTAGTTTTTTTTTTATATGGAGAGATGGTGAATTATTATTATTGCTACTAATTAGTATATCGAGAAAAGGGATTTTCGTTATTAGTATTAAGTTTATATGCAAATATTAAGGTTTGTCTTGGAAGTGTTTTTGGAGTTTACATATTTTTTCCTTTATTTTTTTTGAAGGATATCATCTACGCATCTAAGGTAGATGCAGATTTTTTTAAACATGCTAAAAATGTTATTTTCAAGACTGGACATATAGAAGTTATTAAAGGTTGGACCAAGTGTTGAGCCGATGGAGATGCCATCGATTTGTATATATATATATATATATATATATATATATATGTTGTTTTTATGATCGTAGAATGGGATTTCGTTAGTGCAGGTTAGCAGTAGTTTTCGTAATATATTAGACCTAATTTGAAGTGGGGGTAAAGATGGATTATGGTATATGTTATTTATAATGATCTCAGTATTTTCACGAACAGAGACATTAGTAATTAGGTTTTCGACATCGAGTGAGGCTATGGTTTCCTTGTTAGGTTTTTCATTTTTTAGAATTTGGATTGCCTCGTAGGTTTGATTTTATGCTGAATTTGCTAGGGAGATAGAGTATGATAAGTTCATTGATGGTTTTTGTAACTTGATATACAGGAATGGGAATTTGTGATATAATGGGGTGAAGAGGATAGTTAGGTTTATGTGTTTTTAAAGTACCATATATTCAGCCGGGCTTATAATCGCCGAAGAGGATAGTTATGTTTTAGTGTTTATAAAGTACCATATATGTAGCCGGGCTT